GGCTATGGTCTAGCACCGTAGTAAGAATTGAAACTTGAAAGGTGATAAAATGGTTCTGATTGCTTACCACCTGCTTGAAAGTAGCATATGTGCTTACATAGAATGGTTAGTTAATGAACTAATGATGACTGCTAATAAACCTTAATATTAGAACGCACATGTCGTTGTTTCAGACCGGGGGGTCCTCAACCAACCAGTGAATTTGAACTGCGTGCCCCTAATCCCGGATGGTGATGCAAAGAGACACAAGGTTTATACTGGTTTAGCCAATCGGTGCCCTACGTCCAGTCTGAGAGATCGATCTTGTATTCCTTTAACCGAGGTGCTTGTAGTAGGGGGTTACAAGCTGGGCGAGAGAGGGAGCTAGTCTCAGGTCTCAACGTGGTGCGGTGCGGGCTGCTTGAGGCGTTGTTCTCAGGCAATGGGGGGAGCGTGTGTTATAGAGTGTCGCTTGCGCGTGTGTGAGAGCGTGGTTCTTTCGTATGTTTTCTCCCCTCTCCTAGAGCTATCCCTGGCTGCTTCCTTTTATAGCCACAATGAGGGAGCCAGGAGTACATGAGTGAGCTACACGTGGAGCCTATTGTAGTCCAGTCCTATAGCAGCATGGTTGGGAATGGCGATCGGTACTTGACTGGCGCGCCGTGCTGGCCAGGCCCGAGGTTGTTGAGGTCGTGGGAGTCCTTGTTGACGTCTAGTCAGTATGACCTCCACTGTAGGAGACATGCTGTGCCTTGTGAATTCTTGACTTGGGGGAGTGCCGAGGCCTGGCGGGTGCTATAGCTGATCATGCCGAGGCCTGCTTTGCCGAGGCCTCGGAGGTGACCCGTGTATGATGCGGGGGTCTTGGTGGTCAGCGTCGTACCCGGTTTAGGTGGAAAAGTGCGGAGCGTGTGTCCACAGGGCACGGTAACCCCTGCACCGTTAGTAGGGGATGGTAAAAAAGAGATTTGACCGCTGTCCCATCGCCCCTGTTGCTGTACCCTGCCAGTCGTGGCTGACGTAGTAGGTGTGACCAAGCGCACTTAAATGGATGGGACTGGCTTGCCAGAGGGACGGTTGAGGCGGAGGCGACGAGGATGCAGGATGAGCCTGGCCTCGGTTGAGGCAGAGAAGGAATAATACGTCCGAGGCCTTGTCGGGGGGTCTCGGACGAGGCGGAGGATGAGCAGTTGGTCTTTCATGCTGATTCCAAGACTACAGGGACCCAGACTTGACCCTCCACGCCGCTTTGTCCTTGGCGCAGGAGTTAGGTAGCACAGGGCAGTACGGGTGTCAGTAGGGGGCACAGTGTTGAGCACAGTGGCAGGTAACCCCTGCTGCGCCCGGTCCCCTGTCCCGTCGGTCACTCTACCTGTACTGCGCCAACGTGCGGCTGACGTTGTGGGAGTAGTTGGGCGCATTAACTGGACGTGACGTTTTGTCAGAGGAGTCGGTCGGGACAGAGGTGACGAGGTTGTTGCCGAGCCTAGCCTCGGGCGAATCGGAGAATTGGTAACCCGTCCGAGGCCTTGCGGGGCGGGGCCTCGGCGAGAGGGCCTCGGCAAGAGGGCCTCGGCGGGGCGGAGAGTTTTGGCCTTTCGTCTGAGGCCTCGGCGCAAGCCTCGGGCGAATCGGAGAATCTACCGAGACCTCGTGGTTGTCCTTTGGCTTTGATTTTTGCAAGGCTTAAGCAATATTTTCGGTTCTTGCTTAGGGTACCCCTTCTTGTGGTATCCGACAGCACGTTTAGTAACGCTTCCGTAGATGCAATAACCCACAAGCCAAATAAGCCTTGCATATCCTTGGAGTCTTCTATTTTTTCTCCTGTCGGGTAAGTCTTACTGAGTACAATCGAGTACTTAGGGTTTTATTCCCCCCTGTTGCAATTGATCGGAGGATACTTAGAGCTGACTCTTGTGTGGGAAAACCTCCTGGTGGACTCAGCGGGGATTCCTTTCGTGCTACGACCGTAGTGTTTATTTATAACCCTCACGAAAGGTTTTTATAAGAAAATATGAAAAATCAGTTAGCATCTCTTGTATATAAATGTCCACTATGTTAATGCTCCATCATGTCCATAAATTAATCCTGCTTCCTTTGTAACTCTGATAACATTGTTATATTGTGCTGTTATAATAAATTGAGGTAATATTCTAGTACTGTAATAAAGTGGTGTAAGAAATGACTTAATAATGTTGTAAGATGTATTCTCTTATTTATGATCCTGATAGAAAAATGTGGATTTTTGAGTTCTCCCTTGGGGTGTGCTCGATGGAACTACGTAGTTTGGTGTCCTCTCTTGGGTACTTAGTGTCTAATGGAAGACAAGTACTCCTGGAAGGCAATAGATTAGGCGCTTCTGCCACACTTTTATTTTTCTCTTGTCGAGTAAGTCTTGCTGAGTACAATCAAGTACTCAGGGTTTTATTCGCCCTGTTGCAGGTGATCGGAGGATACTTAGAGCTGTCTCTTTTGTGTGGAAACCTCCTGGTGGGCTCAGAGAGGATTCCTTTCACGCTACGACCATAGTGTTTATTTATAACCTCACTAAAGGTTTTTATAAGAAAAGATGTAAAATCTGCTAGCATCTCTTGTATAAAAATATCCACTATGTTAATGCTCTACCATGTCATTAAATTAATCTTTGCTTCTCTGTAACTCTGATAATATTGTTATATTCCGCTGTTATAATCAATTGAGGTAATTATCTAGTACTGTAATAAAGTGATGTAAGAAATGACTTCAAAATGTTGTAAGCTTTATTCTCTCATTTATGATCCTAATGGAAAAATGTTGATTTTCGAGTTCTCCCTTGGGGTGTGCTCTATAGAACTACATAGTTTAGTGTCTTCTCTTGAGTACTTAGTGTCTAATGAAAGAGAAGTACTTCTGGGATGCATTAGATTAGACAGTTCTGCCACAGTTTGGAGACACCAACTTATCCGCACCCACCAGAATGTTAGTTTTTTAGCTATACATGATTGCTTGGATACTTGCTGTGATATGTGTGTAAGTAATGGTGGAGATATATGTTGGTTTACAGGAAAGTACTATCTGGTCGACTCGGGATATGCCGTGAAAAAAGGATATTTGGGCCCTTATTGAAATGCAAGTTACCATCTTGCTGAGTTCAGGGATAGCGTAGCTCCTACAGGGTATGAGGAGCAATTTAACTTCTCGCCATTCAAGTCTGCATAATGTCATCGAACGGGCATTTGGGCGACTCAAAGGCAAGTGGCACATTCTCGGCCTAATTCCGTATTTTGAGAGAGTGAAGCAAACAAAGCTTATCATTGCATGCTTTGCGCTGCACAATTGGGAGTTGGAACACGGCGAAGGAAGGGCTTCACAGAGGATCTGGCAAAGAGAAGCAGATTACTACGCCGACGCATGGGTGGCAGCAAAATTGTAGCCCAACGACCAGCCTTTGCTCTCCCTTTTCTTTTTGGAAAAAAATATCTCTTTTTTTTTATCTCACTGAACTGTCGCGGTGCCTTATTCCTCCTTGAACTTTAAAATTGAACATCTTATCCCCCTTAACTCCTAAAATCATTGAAGTTATATCCCTGTGCTGAAATGGTTTCAGGTGGTTTCGTAGTTTTTTTTTAAATGGGTGAACATCTGATCTAAAAATGTCTAAGATCTAAAATGGCTATAGAAATAGAATGGGACACTACAGGCTCGAATAAAATACTTGAAGGTTATGAAAGTAAAAGCTTCTAAAGATGAGACGCTCCGGGGGGTTGGGGCTGATACTTTTTTTTTGATATTTTGTTTTTGAATTTTATTGGCGGATGATGTTAGAAAGGTAACTAGAAAAATTGTAGTGTGTTAAATAATGTCAATCTGTCTCCAAAGAACATACGATAGAGTATATCCCGAAAAAGACGATTAGGTGATTCCCAGGCGGCAGTGAACCCCAACCTTTGGTTTCACTTCGTTCATCCGATTTCAGTGATGGAGAAAAGTTTGATGATCTCGTGGGGGACCTTCCATTTGCAGGAGATGCTGGCTGGCATCGCTTCCACGATCGCGTCATGTACTACTCCGGCGGCGGCGTTCCTAGCCCCGCACGCCCTAGCGTCCGCGGCGAGGGAGTACGCCGTCTCGCAAAGCATCCGCGTCAGGGGCTTTCCTGGTGCGCAGTCGAAGGGGTACGCGGGAAGGGAGGGATGGGACGAAGCGTACCAGAGAAGGCAGTTATTCCTTGTACGTGTGTAGGGGCGCAGGCCGGCAGGAGGCGATGATAGGACGGGAGAACAAAACCGGTGTGGGTACATGCGGGCGGGTAAGAAAGCGCGGACGGTGAAAAAAAAACGTCGAGCATGAGCCCTCTACAATGCAAAACACGCTTGTTTCGTATGTTCCTGTCGTCCTTCTATTGTGGGTCCACCTATCAATCTGAGGTGTGTAGGAAGTTTTTCCGGTGACGATAGATTTTCAATTCCTTCGCTCCTTTATAGTATAGATTAGGTATAGATATAGTCCAGTTGATACATGTCCTAGTAGGACTTCATACATGATTGAGTAGGACTCTACATCTACTTGGAGTAAGATACTATTTCTAAACCTATTGTATCTTTAGAACTTTGTCTCTATTCAGAACCATATCTATATATACTTCTATAACAAGGATCATATCTGAAATTAATAAGAACATAATTTCCTTATAGAAGAAGTAAAGCGATCCATCTTTTCTTGTAACAACCGTACACAACATATCTGAAATTAATAAGAACATAATTTCCTTATAGAAGAAGTAAAGCGATCCATCTTTTCTTGTAACAACCGCACACACCACAAGGTTCACGCTTATCATACCAGACTAGAGTAGCCCATGTGCCTCCTGACTATACGTGACGTATGGATGCAAAACACCAAACCTAATGATCGATACAGAACTAGATCCATGATTCCATGCAAACACAAGTTGTACAATCTTTATTTTTCGATGATGGAAAGTAATCTCTAGATCGAACACAGTGCCATCGATCTAAGATGATGGTGAGAACGATTCTTAATTAACCTCGACCGAGGAGTGAGGAGTCCCCAAAGGTGAGCCCAGAATCTCGGGTGGCCTCCTCAACAATATTATCCAGCCTCGCCGCCATGTCCATGGTCATGTAGTTTTTCCAGTCGCCGACCTGCCCCTTCCTGAAGAATGACTCACTCTTGATGCCCAGCCGCGTACTCCCGTTCTTGTTGACGTCCTTGCTCTTGAGATTCTCCAAGCTGCACAGCTCCACGATCTGATCCACCACCCCATCCTCCTCGTCCTCCTCAGAGAAGGTGCACCCCATGAACGCTGCTAGCTTCTTGAGGTTACCCACCGGATCTCCCAGCATGTCTTCGTACCTGAGGAACAGCACCTGGTCCGGCCTCCTCTGGCTCGCGTGCCAGTATTCTAGGGCATGCAGCCAGTGTGGCCTCTCGGGGAACCGTCCCTCACAGAAGAGCTCAAAACCTCCTCGAATTTGGTCACGCCTGCAGAGTCCTGGCCGTCGCCGTCGCCACCGGCAGTGGCGGCTGCCGTCGCTGCCACCTTCTTGTAGAAGTTCCAGTAGGAGATGAGCACGTCCTTGGGATCCCGGCATACGTACACGATCCGGCACCGGGAACCCTCCTCCGTGATGGCATGGGGAAGCTGGGAGTAGGGAAGGTGTGTTGCAAACAGCCGTGGAGAAGAAGGAGGGCCTCATACAAACCCCTTGCACCGGCGGCGTCGTGCTGCTGCTGCTGCTGCTGCTGGATGATCCTGAACTCCAGGAAGCCGACACAGTCGTGCGGGTTCCGGTGGTTGAGCGGGTGTTGGCCGTCGGACGGCGAGTGTGTGGCACGGTTGAGCGTCGCGAAGGCAAGGGCCTTGAGCCAGGTGGTGCCGGACTTGGGTAAGCTGGCGAGGAAGATGTCCGATGCTTCTGGCTCGAAGCATGTGCCAGCGGCAGCCATGCCCTTGAGTAGGAACTCAGCTTGCCAGAAGCCTCCATACTGCCGACGGCGCACCAAGAGCCGCGTCTCCAGGGGGAGCGAGTCAATTATCTCAGCTGCAGGTACGTTGTTGGCGTACAGGCTCGGGTTCCTATGCTTCCTCGTCGAGGGAGCTGCTGTTGCTTCCGATGATGCAGGTGCAGTAGCCACTTCTTCACCGTCGGCTGCGGGGACGGCTGCAGGGGGAGCAGCAGTGCTCATGGTGCCCTGTGTTTCGCATAAGCGTTTACATGCATCAGAACATCCTTCAGTGTCGACAGAAGGCTAAGCTAAGGGATTGCATGCCAAAACTCACCAGAATGTCCTCCAGATCGAGTTGTTGTTGCTCCTCGCCCCTGTTCATGATGCACAACGCCGGCCCCCAACCACTACCACAAACACTTTGAGTATGCCGCCAACCTGCAGTACCAATAATTAAGTGCCCATTAGGAGTTGTTTTGTGGGACAACGGTTGGGGCTTTGGCATCCTGACATTATTGGTGAAGCTTGTTCTATCTCTATATACAAGGGTGCAGCAGATGTTCTAGAAGTTGTCACAGAGACCAACGTGGACTCAAAAAGACTCTGGCACCCCTACAGGAATCTTGCACCTGCATGCAGCTTGGGAGCAGCGCTCCGGCTGGGAGGCCTCCCACACCATCTGAGGCCGCGTTTAGAGGCCAAAAAATTTTGGCCTCAGCCAAAAACCTGATAGCAGCAGGTTTTGGCCAAAAATCTGAGATCCAAAATTTTTTAGGTTTGTTGTTTAGTTGCCAAAAAATTTTGGCTGCCATTCCCAAAACCTGGCAGCTGCACCATTAACAATTGCATGCATGCAGCCAATGCATGCTGACACATGCATGCAGCCAATGCATGCTGAAGCTTCAAATGCATGCATGCTGTTGCCAACAGCATGCATGTTTGATCCAAATAACACAACAGATGTAATTAACAATTAATCATGCATGATTCATCCCCAAAACTGTACTGACGCAACTATACATATGCAGTACACATACATGACCTCAAACACATAAAACTGTCAAGAACGGTTTAGCAAAGCATAAGCAATCGAATCACGAAATTCATTCATCAGATCAGACTCATCCTCAACTTCCTCGGGGTCAGGCTGATTCTCAGACGCTTCTCGTGGCACATAGTTATCATCACGATCACACCTTGCAAAGTGTCTATCCCCTATGCCACTTATCCTAATGAAATTATGTAGAGCACAACATGCAACTATGATTTGGCTTTGTTTATGGGGTGCATAAGAAGGGATCTGATGCAAGATGCGCCACCTCATTTTCAAAACTCCAAATGACCTTTCAATGACATTCCGAAGACATGAATGTGCATAATTGAAGGTCTCCTCTTTACCTTGGGGTTCTAGGGCATCTCGATACTCCTGCAGATGGTACTTAGTTCCCTTGTAAGGAGCAAGGTAACATAGCCGGTTAGGGTACCCAGAGTCCACAAGGTAATATTTCCCTACATGAGCAAAAAAATATTTTACATTCATGTAGTTGAACAACAAGGACCCAAATGTGCTATCTCATAGGTGTGCACCTGCAGGTGGATGTGGAAAGACATGGTTGTATGTTGTTGTTGCATCATTGAATACTCTCATGTCATGTACAGACCCCGGCCAACCAGCAAGAACAAATGTAAATCTCATGTCAAAGTCACAGACATCCATGACATTTTGTGTAGTCATGCCCTTGCGGCACAAGTGCTGCACAAACTTATCATTGGGCACCACACAAGGTACATGAGTCCCATCTATACCCCCTATGCAGTCCTTGAAGTAGGGATAGAACCTAGGATTTCTCAGTCTAGGATGCATTGTTCTAAATTGTGGGTCGATAGGCTTAATAATGTCAGCAGCAAGCTTCACCATACACTTCAAAACTTTGTTTAACATGTTGGAGACAGTCCCTAGTGACCTCTCAAATCTGTCCTCAGCTTGCCTAAAAGATTGTGGTGCCCCAAGCATCCAAAGAAACATCCCTATAGCCTCAACCGAGGTGGACTTAGCACTAGATTTCAGGCCATATGATTGTACTAAAAGATCATGCAGTGTATGGAACATAGGTGGGCTCATTCTAAACATGCTAAAACAGGCCTTGCTATCCCCAAGCTTCCTCTGTACCCATTCCAAACCAGTCATGGCAGGTTGCCTATACTCAGCCCTATTCAAATGCTTGTCAATGTGTAGGGCATACTGGTACATACCATAGATAAAAGCATCATCATCTTTAGCATCCTCTAACTCAGCCATCATCATCTCTTGGAAAACATCCCAAGGGTCTACACAATGGGTTGCTGCTACTGATACAACATCACCCTGTCCAAACAAACAAGGACTAAAGTCAGTCATGAATCACATTACAATTCATGTCATGCATGACTACGTTCACTGACATTTACCATTCCCTCTCACCCATGCATCACATAGTTGAAATGGTCACCATACTTGAAGTTCACCAAACATTACTACATTTAAGTTGTTGAAATAAGAAACATCACAAACACAGTTGAAACACACATTCATGCAGTACAGACTTAGTTCATATGACATAGGACATGGCCGACATTGTTTGAGGACACCATTACGACATGAACTTCAATTCATAGATGAAATAAGATAAGATGGTCTATGGGTCGACCGGCGCAGCTTGCTCGATGATGATCATCCTTTCTTCAGGGCTGTTGGCAAGGAAGAAGTCCATATCACTTTCATTGTGGATGATCTTGTATAGGCCCCTGAACAATGTTGGAGTCTGTGCACTTATACCCATCTCCCTTGCTATCTGGGTGACCCTGTCTATCTTCTCACTAAGGGCCGACCGTGAATTGTGGTCCTCTTGCTTCCTATGCTCAAACATGCTCTCCATCAGGCAGAGCCTACGGTTGGCAATTTCATTGTGTGTCCTCATGTTGTTGTCCATTGCCCTCAGTGCTGGGCTCTTGGACCTCTTGCGTGGGCTGGATGCAGTGGTGCTCGTGCTGCTGGCCCTCTTGTTGCCAATGCTCAATGGGGTCAGCTGGTCTTCCATTTCATCTGCTGCCTCTTCATCCGAGCTTCCACCATCCAAATCAATAGTACCACTTTCACCAGCAACAAAAGATGTGGAGCCATCTACTGTGTTTCTAGTAAACATTTTGTCCATTTGATCTAAGTGCTCAGGCAAACCTTTCCTGAACTTCATCAAATCAGATTGCCCCTGCAATATGAAATCCTTTGTTATGCAATGTTTTACTTAGTAAGTGCTGAAACTCAAAAGAGATAGATAGATCATTTACGTTGGTATTTGCTTTCCACCATGCATCAGTGGCCTCAACAGTTCCATCGTCGCTACGGCCTAAGCCAGAGGCGTAGCGGAGCTTGTTACAGAATGCCCATTGAGCCTTGAGCTGCCTTAGCCTACCAGCAATCTGCTCCCTGTCATGGACCAAACCTATTGCTGCTTGGTACTTCCTTATGACTTCCCTCCACCTAGTCTTGCTCATGACTCCCTTGGTACAATTGCCAATGGCAATTTCATGGCACCATATGTCACAGAACTTCTTAGTGTTCGGTACAGTCCAGTTGGCCTTGTGTTTCATAGCCTAAACGATGCTTGTTTTAGTTCACGACATGTACAGAGATTAAACCATTTGGTAAACACTTAAGCTAGGTTAATCAATATCTACAACTGTTGTAGCTTAAATTTGTATCACAGAACACTCATAGCAAGAGCAACTAAATAATACATATAGCACCCTAGACACATGCATGTAACTCAGCAGATCTACTACGAAATAGAAGATCAAGGAGAAAGGGAGTGGAATTTGTACCGGGACTCGCGGGGCGTGAGTGTTGTCGTCCTGATTGAAGTTGTCATCAAGAATGGCTGGCCCCGGCCCGCGTACATGCGCACTGCGGCCCCTGCGACGGCCACCTGCGCCTCCCTGTGGAGGAGACAGAGGAGGGATGAAGCCACCTCCAACGGATGTTCCACCCATGCCGCCTCCAACGGATGTTCCTCCGCCGGCGATGGCAGTGTTCGACCGAGGTTGCGCGCACTGTTGCGGGAAGTCACGCGGATGGGGGTGGGAGCCATGGGGGGACCTCATTGTCCCCCCGAATGTAGCCCGCGTAGGCCTACATCTACGGCCAGTCCTCGCCGGCGTTGAGATCCAGCGACTCCAACCCCAGCCGAGACTGGTTGAATCTGCTTGAACCTGAGAAGGTTTGCGCCGCGTCGGGGAAGAGGCCGCTACCGCCGGCATGGCCCCAGGGATTACCGGGCGCCAGGAAATCCCTGGTGCGCGCGTCGTTGCTGTGGCCGGCACCGTCGATGCCATGGTCGCCGTTGTAGCCGGTGCCGTTCATGTCGTCGCCGTCGTGTCCTTCCATCACCGAACGCGCGAAGGTGGTCCTCGATCCGGACTCCGACGGGGTGGATCTAGTGGTGTAGCTCGTGGATCTGCGCGGCGGCGTTGAAATGGCGGGAGATCGTGGCGGTGGGGGAGGAGTGACCGCGGCGTGGGGCTAGGGTTCGAGAGTGGATGAGAGTGAGGATAGAGGGGCGGTGTCAAGGCGGCGTGATGAATGGATAAGGGGTGGGTGCGGGGTACCAGGCGTCCTTCACGCCTCCCAAACCGCACAGTGCCAGGCCGAACACCCCTCCATGAACAGTACTAGGCCAAAATATTTTGGCTGCCGTTTAGTTCCAAAAAGCCCAAAGCCAAAAATTTTTGGACTGGGCCAAAATTTTTTGCAATCTAAACGGGGCCTGATTCTTTTCATTTTTTGTTGGTATAGTGGATGACAGGAGGTGATGGATGGACCAGTGCTGTACTCTGGTATAGGAGCTAGAAGCTAAAACATCTTCCTTTCTGATATATTTTTTGAATGCTACGATGACCTATATCTTGGGGACGGAGAAGCCCGTTAGACAAAATCACAAATCCGATAAAATATGACTGTGTTGGCACAAAGACAATTAACAATTTACATTTGTTTATATAGTTTGGCAATGACAAAATTTTAATATGTTATGATACAAAGACAAATAACAATCAACCTATACTAGTTGGTTGTACCAAATTGTTGCCTAAAATCATCTTTAAATTCAGGCATCTGAAATATAGAAGTGATAATAAAGTTGTTCCGTTAGTTGAGGACAAAATTTGGAATTTGAGCGGAAGAAAACACCCACAGTCCCAATAAATACGTAAACAGAGGTCATAGAAGCAGAACAAACACATAATTGTACAAGTAGAACTGGGCATAGCAAACTCCAGAAAATACAAGCATGGAGACAAAACAAAATCTTAAGTAGCGGGCATACAATGTAATCACCAATGAGTATCATGAATGCATGGCAGCTGCTATAGGAGTTCTGGCCCTTGTGTTCATTAGCACAACAAGAATGTAGGACACTGAGCAATTATTGATGTGGGCGTGTTTACCTCTTATTGACCTAACAATAAAATCATGAGGCCAATCCCCAAATGTTTGTGTGATCATGTAACATCCTCTAGATTGACACACACACACACACACACACACACACACACACACACACACACACACACACACACACACACACACACACACACACACACATATATATATATATATATATATATATATATATATATATATATATCTTGGTAACTCTGAGCATTATTTTCTTCTTCTTCGTAACTTTCTAATAAGAACTTATTATCCATCTCCCATTGCTCTTCTTCATTTGTAATGTATTCAATATTATTTATCTGCACAACTTCTTTAACTTTATGAGGCTCTTTAGATGATGAAGAGTTACACAATCTAGATAATGCAATGGAAGGGTTATAATATCTGAAAATATTAATAGTTCAATAGAAACAAAAATAGAATTAATGAATCAAGAAGACTGTGAGCATGATTGGATAAAAGGAAGAGGTGATTATAATATAAAATATGCTTTCTGCATATATTATCCTAGTCAGGAAAACAGATCCACATGCAGCATATGTTTAAAGCAAGCATGTTCCTCATGTTTAAGAACTAATAACCAAAAATGGAGACAGGAAGTAGAACTAGAATAACTAGAATAAGAAGATAAATTATTAGCAAGCAGAGTCAGAAATCTAGAGAATAGAATAAATAGCTTAGAAGTAGAATTAGAAGAGCTAAATAGTAAAATAGAACTCAATGAAGCTAATAAGATAGAAGAAAATTATAAAGACCTTACTGAGTTAAAGGATCAAGCAATGGTAAATAAAAAAATGATAAAGCGTTACAATTAAAAGAAGCTATAATAAACTTTGGTAGCAAATATATAGTTAGATTACCATTTAAAGAGATTATAGGAATAAGAGTACCTGTAAAAGTAAAATTAACGCCTAACATATCTTATAAAATATTAGCATTAGTAGACACCGGTTGTACAAAAAATATTATACATGATAAATATTTTGTAAAATGTCTAGAAATAGTTCAAACAATAGATCATGATAAAGCAGAAATATCTACTGATATGTCTGGGATAAAAAAGGTTCATAATCAACTAGCTTATGGTGTTGAAGTACAAATAAATAACACAAAATATATAATGGATGAAATTACAATAAGAGATCTATCTATGATTCATGATGATATGATATTAGGATTAAGATTTTTACAATTCTCTTTACAAACAACTATCATACATGAGCAAGGTATAACATTTATTCCTTATCAAGACAACATTCCATATATAACAGAAGTACGAAAGACAATAAACTCTAATCCAGAAAAGACCAACCTAGAACTCCAAGGATTTGATGAAAAGGTCCCTGATAATCATATAGATGAAGACCTAGGTGAAAATATAGAAGATTTTCATATAGCAAACTCATGCATAGAATGTATCAGTCTGCAATCATTAGCACTAAATTGGTATAGAGATATAAAATCTAAAAAGGATATAGATAAAATTGTAAGAAGGTTGGAAGATATTTAGATAATCGGAGAAATACCAATGAAGCATTGGGATAAAAATGGTATAGTATGTAAGATTAACATAATAGATCCTGACTATATAATCAAGACAAGCCCTATAGAAGCAACACCTAAAGATATAGAAGAATTTAAGATGCATATCGAAGAATTACTAAAATTAGGAGCTATAAGAGAAAACTGAAGTCCTCATAGATCAGCTTCATTTATAGTAAGAAATCATGCTGAAATAGCTAGAGGAAACTCAAGAATGGTTATTAATTATAAAAGACTAAATGATAATACTATAGATAATGCTTATAATATCCCAAATAAGCAAGAATGGATAAATAGAATACAATGAAATAAATATTTCTCAAAATTTGATTTAAAAGCTAGGTTTTGGCAAGTAAAAATGGCAGAAGAATCAATAGAATGGACTGCTTTCACATGTCCTCAAGGCCATTTTGAATGGCTAGTAATGCCTTTAGGATTAAAAAATGCCCCTGCTCTATTTCAAAGAAAAATGCAAAATATTTTTAATAAAAAACAAGAATTCATATTAGTTTATATTGACGACTTATTAGTTTTCTCAAAATCCTATAAAGAGCATAGAGCTCATCTGGAAACCTTCTTTAGAAAGGTAGAACAGCATGGGTTATTATTGTCTAAAAGAAAAATAGAGATATGTAAGAAAAGGATAAATTTTTTAGTCATGAAATAGGAAAGGGAAAAATTTATTTACAAGATTATATTGCAAAGAAAATCTTAGAATTTTCAAATGTCATGAATGATAAGAAAACCCTGCAGCAATTCTTAGGAATAGTAAATTATGCTAGAAATTATATTGAAAATTTGGCTAAGCTAGCTGGTCCATTGTATGCAAAATTAAGAAAAAACGGACAAAAACATTTTAATTCTGAAGATATAAAGTTAGTAAGAACTATTAAAGAAAAGGTAAAGATTTAAAACCCCTAGAGTTACCCTTAGATGATAATTATTTCATTATAGAGACAGATGCATCCAAGTTAGGATGGGATGCAATATTAAAGCAAAAACCATACAAGTACTCTCCAAAGTTAGAAGAAAAAATATGTAGGTATGCTTCAGAAAAATATAAGCTAAAAGCAATAAACAATACGGATAGAAAAATTTTAGCTGTTATCAATGCAATAAAATGCTTTTAGATTATATCTAGGATTTAAAGAGTTCACAGTTAGGACAGACTGTGAAGCTATATACAAATACTATAATAAAGTCAATAGTAAGAAAAGTTCAACTAGGCAATGGGTTCTATTTGAAGATATTATTACTGGAAATGGTTATAAAGTAATATTTGAGCATATAAAAGGCAAAGATAATACATTGCCTGATATATTTTCACGATCTTCTATTTTGCAGGAATGAAGAGAGGAACAAATCCTACTGGGGTGAATGTTTCAACTTTGAAATCAATAATAAGTTAAGAATTTTTCCACCAAATACTTATAAATTCAAGCCTCGAGACCATGTTGTTTTAGATGATATACAAAAATGCATTCTACACAATTTCTGGTTCCAATATAACAATAAAAGAGAAAATAAATGTTATATGGTAGCAATATTAAATAGTTTGGCTGAATATTTTTCATATGATTAATGGAAAAATACAAACAAAAGAACCATCCAGCAATATAGAGAAAAAACCCATATATGTTATATATAGGGGAAAACACCTCGAATTTATATATCATTTGAAGAAGTTACAGCTCAGCAGATAGAAAAAGAAAAAGATGGAGGAATGTCATGGAAAAAATATTTAGATGTTGATCAAACTCTTTCATATGCAAGAAGTATTCTGGGAGTAAATTATTTCTTAGAGCCAACAGCCAAAGACTATATCCAGAAATATAGGAAGGCCAATGAAATAAAACCAATATGGGCAGGGCCAAATATAAGAGAAGAATGACCGTATAGACCGCATACATATAAAGAGGCGGTAAAAAAAGATATAGATCCATTGAATGAAGAATATGTTAATACTAAGATGAAAGAAAAATTAGAGTCAATAACTCTTCAATGGAAGAAAGACATAAAGCAAGAAATCTTACAAGAAATAAGAGGAGAAATAGATCAAAATTTGAAAATATAATGAAAGACTATGAAGTAAAT